ATTTTCGGACAAACTGTCCTCTCGTGAGCATTGAATTTAGTCAAAATGAAAAGTTAGCTGGTGAGCACTGTAGTTCTTAAAACGCTCTAGACAGCTGGGTTTTCATATTACAAAAAAGTATTTATTGAGAAACATGAGAATAACGTAAATAGAGCAGACAGTTAAATCTAACATCGAAATTGGATGAGTGACCAAGAAAGCCACCTATCAAATACAATGTCGCCCTTACTCTTTTCCTGTATCTTAGCACTGGACAACGAACACATCATCGGTGTTGGCACAGATAAGACCCTCTATACACGCGCCACTTTGAACAGCAGTTGGGTGCAGATTCCGAACACCGGTGATATGGTTGGAGTTACTCAGCTAAGCAGTGGTACGATTCTCGGTGCTGGCACGGATAAGAACCTCTATACACGCGCCACTTTGAACGGCGGTTGGGTGCAGATTCCGAACAGCGGTGATATGGTTGGAGTTACTCAGCTAAGCGATGGTACGATTCTCGGTGTTGGCACGGATAAGAACCTCTATACACGTGCCACTTTGAACGGCGGTTGGGTGCAGATTCCGAACAGCGGTGATATGGTTGGAGTTACTCAGCTAAACAATGGTACGATTCTCGGTGTTGGCATGGATAACAACCTCTATACACGCGCAACTTTGAACAGCAGTTGGATGCAGATTCCGAACAGCGGTGATATGGTTGGAGTTACTCAGCTAAGCGATGGTACGATTCTCGGTGTTGGCACGGATAAGAACCTCTATACACGCGCCACTTTGAACGGCGGTTGGGTGCAGATTCCGTACAGCGGTGATATGGTTGGAGTTACTCAGCTAAGCGATGTTTAGATTCAACTGTCTGCTCTATTTACGTTATTCTCATGTTTCTCAATAAATACTTTTTTGTAATATGAAAACCCAGCTGTCTAGAGGGTTTTAAGAACAAAGTGCTCACCAGCTAACTTTCCATTTTGACTAAATTCGATGCTCACGAGAGGACAGTTTGTCCGAAAATGCTGTAATCCAAGAAATATTGGAAAGGACGTGTTTGCCTTTCCTCTGATAAAGATGTCTGATGCCTCTGAAACTTTTAGCAGCGACACAATTGTTTATATTAGAGGGTCTATTATTATCCCATACCCTCCGCCCGCGAACAATCCCGATTCCTTCCCTTAAGGCCATTACCCGAGGTGAGGGTGAGGGCCAACCAGTTGGCTTTATAAACCGGTCGGTTGATACCGGGCTTTTTCCGATTGAAATTGCGAAAAAAAATAAGGTTCCTCCTAACAAGTTAGCAGAAACTCGTTTTTCAGCATTAAAATAATCTCGTTTTGCTAAACTTGAAGAAGTGGCGTGAATGACTTGCCCCCTTCAGAGTATAAACCGGCAGATCCAGTCCGATTGAACAAATCTCAACCGGTTCCGACACTGGGATGGTAATGTAATGATCTGGAGCAGGAGTCTCCTAGAAGTTATAATTGGTACTGTTAGATAAGGAAAGAGCAGGCCTCTGTTCAGTAACATCTACTTTTCCAACAGGCATAGATGAATTCAGAATTCTCATCTTTGACTACTTTGTTGTAAAGAATACGCTGAGCTGAGTGTAATGAATTGTTGAATTTCCTGCATTTTATGCCAAGTTAGAAAAGACTATAATCAATAATTCCGCCGAGAATCTCACTATGCAAAAAGATCGTCTATACTTTTTTCACTTAATCCGAAACATTACTATTTCAAAACTATCATCTGAGTAACCAGGCAGGCTCTCTAGCAAACATGTACGAGAAGGTTTTTGTAGTATACAAGTACAAACGCGAATGACGACAGATGTTAAAAGGCTCTTTTGATGATGGCAAGAGAGAAAGAGATGCTAATGGTAAAAGGGGAATTCCACGGAGTGTCTTCCATCTTATTCAACGTTATAACGTTGGATAGAGTTCGTCGAGCTGAGTCGGAATACATATGCTTTGCCCTCTGGAACTTGATCTGCGAGGAGATAACTTTGAAAAAGTGAAAACTTTACTTTAGCTCAAAAGCCAACAATATTATAAAAAACTCATTCCTCGAACCATCTTTATATTTTATAGCTTTGCAGTTATTTTCTTCTTATTCAGCATGCATGCTCTATATCCGATTTGAATGAAAAGATGACCCGAATATGATATTTGTATTGCATAAAAGTTGAGGTCTGATGGGGAAGATTGAGAATTATGAACAGAATTCTGACTTTTGACCATTCGGATGACAGACGTTATACCTAGTACCACAGCACTCAATGGACATATACTTTCTTCTATCCTGTGCACAACAATAACCAGAAGAAAAGATTGCATACGTGAGTCTTTCTACATATGTAAAAATCACCTGTTCACACCCAACAAAAAAATGAAAGTGCGGAGAGTATGTAGAGATCAAGTCAAACAGTCAGAATCATGTTCTTGTCGAGCTGCAAGCTGGAAATGAAGTCTAATGTTATGCTGAGCACGCGCCCCTTTCTCCTAAAAAAAACTAGCAGAAACGCGTTTTTCTGCATTAAAAAAATCTGGTTTTGCTAAACTTGAAGAAGTGGCGTGAATGACTTGCCCCCTTCAGAGTATAAACCGGCAGATCCGGTCCGATTGAACAAATCTCAACCGGTTCCGACACTGGGATGGTAATGTAATGGTCTGGAGCAGGAGACTCCTAGACGTTATAATTGGTACTGTTAGATAAGGAAAGAGCAGGCCTCTGTTATGGGCTTCAATGTCACTGGAACGGAACGGATCTTCCATCTTCACAAACGATGAGTTTCGTTCTGCGAGACTCCGACCAAGGGAGAGAGACTCTTGCCGATCTAACGTTCAAACTTAGGACTTTCCAATACAACATTTACTAATTGTTAAGCCTTAAAAGTTTGAAATGCAGTTTGAAATCAACTTCTTCTTTCCGCATATTTGCAAATGGATTGACCTGTTCTCGTCCGAGAATTTCTGGATGCAACACATTTTTTCGGTGAAAGTATCGAATCACGGTCGGAACCTCGAAAACACTTCTCTATACGAAAGCGTCTCTACTGCACGCGTTAGCCAGCGTAACAATATTTATCAAACACCTACTTTACCACAGACCTAGACATATCCTTCGTTACTAACCCTAATATATGAATAGTCTAGCGGACACTTGCACTAAATCAAACCATTCAACCTATTTAGATGCGTTATATTAGCATAGGAGTTCCTCAAGACTCCACAGTAGGACTCTTACTTTTCTACTGAACATACGCGACATTCAGTAAAATATGCTTTTATGTAAAATGCTTTTCTTGAAAATGATTAGTGGTGCGCACAAGAAGGATGTAAAATGCAAGTAAAGTTTTAGCAGTGTTATATATGGCCTCTTTCACGGAAAAGAATAGCGAGAGCCATGAGGAAGATCTGAGAAAGC